GCGCCCGCCGGGGGAGGCTGAGCGGCCGCCGGGCTAACTGTTGCTCCGTGTCGGTCCGCGATAATTTTACGTCACGCACTGAAGAGGTCTGGTGCGGGCGCAGCCCCTGCCCCGGCGGGCTTAAATCACTTAAGCCCGGAGCGGGTTGTATTCACGGGGGATCCCCGCTGGGTCCTTCGTACTTGGGGTTATAATCCTGGTTTGTGACCTCATAGCTGTTGCCTTTAGAAATGATAATGATCTAATAAACACAAAAACCCTCCTGGGGTTTAATAGGAATACATAGTGCGGTGGTGTGGGATGTAAGACAGGGTGCTTGGAGATGACATTTCCTAGTTTAGCAGTTCGTGAGATACCTCTTCAGAAACATTTGCATTTCAATGCGCTCCTGCTCTCTGTCTGCCAGGAAACTTTCTTCACAGAGCTTCTTTCAGAGAGCTTTTTGCGTGTGGTATCTGACTTGCAGCATGCAAATATTTAGTAACTTTGGGTTTTTGTGTCACTATTTCTAACTGCTTAGGACTGAACGTGTTGTGTGGGTTTGTGTTTGGTTTTTTTTTTTTTTAATAGCACCTTAAGTACGCGCTAATTTGGGGCCTGATCCTGTTCTCGCTACTGTGAGTTTAACAGGGGCAGAACGGACACCCATTCTTGAATAGCATTATTTGGTTTTTTTCAAATAATTTTATGTTAAAGGTGACATTTTGGAGATGCTTCCACTCAATTCCTCGATATGTTTATTTGAAGTTTGTGCTTTTTCTCTTACTTGTGTTCTGTTTCTGTAATACCCTCTCCCGCTGCCTGTTTATTTCGATGTCGTGCAGCTCTGTGACATCACACCTACTGCCTTATTAAAATGATGGTGTTATAAATAAGGTCCGAGACTAATGTATTTGAATAAAATGAATGTAAGATTACTAAGGTACACGTTTAACATGTAAATGCTTCTCTGAAATATTTCTGAAACTCAGCTAGCATTCAAGTTGACCGTTAAAGAAATACGGCTTTTTAATTTCTGTGACTGTGCCAAAGTTTTTTCCTTAGGGAAATATGGGATCTGATTTGACCATACAGCCTTTAGATGCAAACTAATGATTTCTGTTCTCTTACCACCCATGATTTAAGATCAAGAAATGCTGAAGTGTTAAATGTATTGTATTGTAAATGTAAACTTGTATTTAATGACTTTTTTTTTTTGCCTTTAATAACGAGTTATGGCTGTGATAGGATAAGGGAATAAGTAATGCAAGGAGCAGCTGAGAAGGGAGGCCAGGGGAGCTTGTAAGTGAGGAGCCAAGTGATGGTCTAATAGGGTCTGAAAGGAGCAGTGAGTGGAACGAAGACCTGGTCAAAGGCTGAAGATACGGCATGAGCACTGTTGAGGGAGGATCTAATAGGGCAGAAGCACGTCTGAATGGAGTCGAAGCTCTCAACTCAAAGTACATTCAACACGTGCGTAAGCGCAAGCTCTTCCTGCGTAGTTATGAAAACACTATGTATTTTTACCTCTTCAGGAATAGCACATCACTTCATATTTCTTAATGGTTCTCATTTATTGGAACATCGCTCAACCTTTGTTTATATCTTTTGAAAATACCACTGGTTTGAATAACCTACTATTATCATTGTATTTTTGTATTCAGGGTTTCAGGTGTAATGCGTGATAAGTGTTATCAGCACATATGAAACTTTTCTCAAGCATTGTAACTTAACAATGTTAATTGTATTCCATGATGCTAACTGTATGCTTATATATGTCATTTTATTTACAGATTATTTTTTCCTTGGACAGCCCATATTTAATGGGAGAGCATGTTGGATAAAAGTAACTAAATACATGAGTGATCTAATTTTTGTTTGCTGTGAAGTGACCTGGGAACGACTGTAGTGCATGGTACCAAACAAATAAAATGCGGTAGAGCTTCCACAGCTGTATATACAGCATTTAGGGTCTGTACCTGGGAAGTAAAGTCTTGAAAAAATGCGATCTTTCAGAAGCAAACCCTTTGATATGTATTGTTCCACTGCATGACTGAAGCATTACTTTCAAGTCAGAATACTGTGTGTTGCTTTTCTAATATTGATATTTTTTAATTTATACGGATTGAGATATACATATTTGAATACTGTAGAAATATTGCATTAAACTCAAGAGCTGCTAGAAAAAGCAATAAGAAATGCTGGTTGTCATTGCTTTCAGTGTTACTTGACTTTTAAAAGTCAACATCTCTTATGTTAGTGTACACTTTTAATTATCTTTTTAATTGGAGTGCGAGCGATCAATTATATATAACTGATAAAAAGAGAAATTTTAGTACTTCTGCTTGCAGTATTGCATTTTTTAGTTGAGCTTGTCTACAAAGCTCATAAGAAGTGCAGAGAAATAGACCTGTAAGTGAAAGTTTTGTGTACATTTGTGTTCTGTGTATGTAACACTAGTTACCTATGTCTAGCATCTTTGACCTTTGTATTTTTTTTAAATGGTACATATATAATTTTTTGCGTTCACGCGTAAACAAAATGTTTTTAACTTTGTTAGCCATCGTCCTTTAATCTAATTTGGAAGCAAGGTTCGTAAAATGAAACTAACCATTCATTTCATTACAGGGAGCATCTTCAAGTGAATAGTGAGTACACCATATTTACTTACTAATTTGTGATACCTTAGAAGATTACTTAAATTATGGACACACACTTAATTTTAGTAATAAAGCATAATGCTTATTTAAAGTAGAAAACTGTAATGGGGTTTTATTTAAAATTTGAATTGAAAACTGTAGTGAGAACGTTTTTGTGATGGTAAAAATATCAGTCCTTAAAATTAGGATTATATGAGCATGATCAAAACCTATTCTGCAGGGTTTCTGTATTTCATGGAAGCTGCTGGCTACTGAAAAAACATAGTGTTGGTCTGGATTATTCAGTGAATAGTAAGAATACTTCCCAGAAAACAGCGTTTCAGTACATGGCTTGTTTCTTGTGATTTAAAGTACCCAGTTAAGCTAATATTTTGTATTACTTTAGCTATTCACAAACAATAAAAGGCTTTAGAAATTACTTTAAGCAGTAAATGCAGACATTTTATTTTATGAGATAATGAGGGTCTAGTCATGTTGTCTATTAAAAGCTATCCTATAGTCAGCAATACTCTGTCTTTTATTAGGGAAATGATGTCAAGATTATAATTAAAGCAATCCAGTCATGTAGCACTGCACAGAGCTTCCTTGTATATTGAGTTTAAGTGTGGACATCTGATTATATAAACTTCTTTAAGTAAATATTTAGTATGTGTTCAGCCTTGGCCAAACTTGTGAATTTTGGAGGTGGTAGCATGTTAACATAAAAACAGTGATCAATTTCTCAGCTTTCTTTTCTTTCTCGGAGAGGAGACTCACTTAAAACATTCGAGAGAGAGAGATCACTAGCATAGTGGATTCTGCTAGAGATGCAGAAAGGAATTTTTCCACTTTCTTAGCAGATTAATTATACTTTTAGAAAAATACTTCTTTTTTTCAGACATCTTGAAAGCCTATGCTTTTTCAAAACTACTAAAATACTTGAATATTTTCATCAGAAGCATATCTAATCTGGTGAAGCCTTGATTAAAATTCCCTTCTTTTTTCGTAGCAATAGAGTTTCCCATTTGAAGTGTAACATGCTTTTCCTCCAAAATGGAGTATTTGTATGTTTCCTGCATGTGTATATGCATAATACATATGTAATTTTCTACTGAGACTTCTACAACTGAAAAATACTGTGTTTTTGTAGCAAAGACAAAAAAGCTAAACAATTAGGTATTAATGATATTCTTGTTGCATATTCAAAAGGTCTTTGCAAGCATTTCTTCTCCTTTTTTTCTTTTCACCATTTCAACCTGCAGAACTCTTCACTGTCACTTCAAATCACACAATTCTACAAAGATAAAACAACATTTAAACTCATTTGCTTTGGGAGGGAAATTGAGCATTTGCACCCAATAAGCCTGATTGTGGAACTGCATGCAAATTGTGTTTTGATTTATCTCTTTTGCACTTTTTTCCATTTGAATTGATCTTGCATTAATTTTGCCAAGCGGCTCTGTGAGGCTGCAGATGTTGCCCTGTGTTTAATAAATCAATGAGACAGATCTGAATGAATCACTTCAGATGGATTCTCTGCTCGGTTTGATGTCTAGATGTTATTCTTAGCTTGTTATCATGACAGATGCATTAATGTTCCCATACACTGCCAGCAGTGTCAAAGAGATTGAAGCTTTTAAAGTGGCGGTATCCCCTTTTCCCCCTTCTGTTGGAATAACTAAATTGCCTTTAGGAATAGGTCAAAATATAAATTTAATCATGGCATTGTTGTGTGGAAGATGTTAAACTTCTGCTAATATTATAACACAAAGTCAGACAAATGCAGTTTCATACAGAATGATTAATTATTCCAAAACAGTGGAGATCAATATTAAAATCTAAACATAGCATAGCTCCTTAATAGAGTAACCACTTTCTCGACATTAATATTTTATTGTAATAGGAATGATCCAAATAAATAATATAAGACTAGAACATGTTAAAAGTGTTGCTATAAATAGAATATCATTGTGTCCAAATTGATTACAGGCTGAATTAAGGCATTTTCTTTTTTTTTTCTTTTTAAATTCTTATTAATAATTTTCTTTTAAAGTTAAATGTGTCTGGATTCAACATCTGTTAGATTTAAAATAGGAGTACTTGCTTATTATGTTTCTGTTACTACTTACCATTTAGTGCCAGATATGTTAGAAAAGTTGTTGATCACCATTAATTTCTGATCTGTGTAGTCTGGTATCCATTATCTTAGAGCAGAACCTGTGGAACGCAAATCATAAAAGAGGATGGAATGTGTCTTTGTGGAATGGTTTTAAATTCTGGAAAAGCTTGCACAAAGTATAAAGTACTCTGCCATGAATAATGAAGATCTATTTCCCACGTAGGCTGCGCACAGTTTTTACTGGCTTTTATTCCATAGTGTTTAATAAACCACTTTCAGTCTTCCTTGTTTTTCTTTAGAAGATAAAACAGTATTTTTTTATTTGCTTCAATCATTTTGTTAAACCCGATCTCTTTCTCTATGACGCTTTATTTTAATGCTGAAAATTATCAGGAATGTTCCTTTCCCTAATCTCTCCCCCAAAGAGAACTTTGACTTTTTGTCATTAAGGCTTCTGAGAATAAATTGGAGAAACTGGCTGTAACAGATCTAGATTTATGTTGGCATTCTTGGTCTTCTTGCTCCAGTAGTTCCAATTTGATAAAGGAAACAATATATGTAATAGAAATTCACAGTTTATTCAAATGAGTTTAAGCTTTAGCATTGTTATATTTGCCTTTCTTTCACCAATATATCAATGTGTGGCAATAGCATTATACTTAGTCTCCAGAAGTGACCAGCTCTGTAGATGGGAAATTATTCTCACACTGGGGCTACGGTTGGACACGCAGCTGCTGTTTGTGTGTGTGCATTTGTTTTAAAGGCAGGTGAAAATCAACTTTGGTAGAACTGAGGAGCACAGCAAAAATCACTGGATTAGAAAATCATGTTTTGTTTTATTGCAGTGGCCTTAGAGTGAGAAACTACTATCTACCTATCTTGGTAATTTTGCAAAAAAATATTTAAAATGAGCATTCTGGGGTGTTTTAAAAAATTGTCTTGTTTATTTCATTGCTTACAGGCTGGATTTCACGTTACGTAAGAGCTGTTCATCAGCATCAATATTAAAAAGGTGTTGAAATCTGGGCCATAAAGTCCCTGGTTTGACTTTGCTGAGGTGAACTGCCCTTTTGTGCCAGTGGAAGTTTTCCAGAACAAGGGAAAAGAACTTAAAACTGTTTCTAGGGTCCGAGCCCTTCGTTTCAAAGATGAGATGTATTTGCTGAAAACCTGCATTTGAAAGAATTGTGTGTATATGGCATTTTCAAAGAGGCATTACATTTTTGGGACTGATCTTGTTCTTGCTGAATGTAGGATCTTTAATCTTTTCTGTGCCTGTTCTAGAAATGGTCATTTTGAATTTTCTGAGTTTAAGAACAAAATTATCCAAATGCGTACTTTCAAATACCTAGAAAGTTCCCATCTAGTTTCTTTTATAAGTTCTTTGTGTGGTTAACAGTGTAATAAAACCCTGTGGGTGCATGGAAATGCAACATCTTAGTCATTATTTATGTAAACAATACTAATAGCAAAAAAAACCCAACCCCAAACATAATGAGGATACTTTTGAGTTATTGCTTTCTTCATATTATTGCTGTGACGTGTTCCTTTAGTACAAGTGAAGGCAAGATTTTTATATGTTACGATTAAACATGCATTACCAAGCACAAGTACATTAGTTAGTAATGATTCTTGGTGATTTAGATTTATCCTGCTTGATAGTGGAACTGTCCCTTGGGGCTACATGCTTTTGATCTTTCTT